TGTTCCTCTCACTTTGATGTTTCTGTCTTTCCCTTTCTCTTCCACATTCTCTAAAAATCAATGGAAACATATCCTCAGGTGAGGATAAAAAAATAATAAAGAAATTATTATTATATAAAAGACACATCTTAAAAATGCCTAAAGAAAGTTGTCATTTTTTCATGGTGAAGGGACTGGAGTCCGTGTTGATGAAAAAACCTTGCTGGCTGCGGTGACTGGCAGTGGCTGCAGCAGCGGGGTGATGGGCTGGTGCTTCCCCTGATCAGCCCGGTCACCTCCCACAAAGGGAGGCCAGATTGCGGCTTATGTCCTATCCCCAAGGGGAGCAGGGAGCGGGCCTAAGCTGTCAGTAGGACATCCCCTGAGGGCTCCCAGTATGTGAGAGGGGGCAGGCTGGGCTGAGGGACACCCCCCCCCCCCCCGTGCACGAATTTCATGCACCGGGCCCCTAGTATATCTAATAAAGGGATAATTTCCAAAATATGTAAAGAAACGAAAAATAAATAAAACAAGTGTTTGCAAGGACATGAAAGAAATTGGAAGCCTTGTACACTGCTGCTATTGTGGAAAAATGTACAAGGTTTTCTCAAAAAAATTGGAAACAGCCTAAGTGCCCATGAGCAGATGAATGGATTAGAAAACTGTGGTACATCTACACAATGGAATACTAGGCTGCTATAAAAAAGAAGGAATTCTTGCCATTTGCAACAGCACAGATGGAACTGGAGAGCATTGTGCTAAGTGAAATAAGCCAGTCAATGAAAGAAAAATACCACATGATCTCACTCATTTATGGATAATAAAGATCATTATAAACTGATGAACAAAAATAGATACAGAGGCAGAGCAGCATTGATCAGACTGTCAAACTAAAGCGGGAAGGCCGGGGAGGGTTGGGAGGGGGTAAGAAATCAACTGAAGGTCTTGTATACATGCATATAAGCATAACCAATGGACACAAGACACTGGGAGGGGGGTAGGGGAGGCCGGGGGAATGTCAAGGGAGGGGGGGGAAGGAGACATATGTAATACTCTTTGTAATACTTTAAGCAATAAAAAAAATTAAAAAAAATGAACTACTGTATGAACCACAAATCCTACTCCTGGGTATTCCAATCCAAAAGAATTAAAATCAGGATCTTAAAAAGATATCGGTACTGTCATGTTTATTGAAGCATTATTCACAGTGACCAATACATTAAAACAGCCCAATTATACATTGACAAATAGATAAAGAACATGAGACATTAACATGCAATGGAATGACTTTCAGTCCTCAAATAGAAAAAAATATCAACAACAAGGGTGGGCCTGGAAGATATGATGGTAAGTGAAATGTCAATCACAGAAGGACAAATACTGCATGATTGCACTTATATGAGGTATCTAAAATAGTCAAAGTCATAGAAGCAGAGAATAGAATGGTTTTCCTAGGGAATGAAGGGCAGGGAAAATTGAGAGTTTTTCATTGGTTATAAAGTTATAATTGTACAACATAAATAAGTTCATAATAGACTACTGTTACTTCGAAGAAATAGAAAAATTCTTAGGGATTCTGTAACATTCCTCGTCTGAATCATAAAGAACTGGAAAATCTAAATAGACTGGCTAACTCTGAGGAAATTGAAACAACCATTATAAACCTCCCAAAAAGTAAAAGCCCAAGACCAGAGAGCTTTACTATTGAATTCTAACCAATATTCAAAAAATAGTTGATACTTGTCCTTTCAAATTCTTCAAAAAAAATTGAAGAAGAGGCAATATTTTCTAACACATTTTATGAGGCCAACATAATCCTGATAACAAAACTTGTCAAGGATAACACACACAAAACGAAAACTACAGACCAATATCTCTGATGAATACATATACAAAAATCCTAAACAAAATACTAGTAAATCGAGTACAACAATACATTAAAAAAAATACATCACAGCCCTGTTGGAGTGGCTCAGCTGGCTGAGCATCGTCATGTATACCAGAAGTTGCTAGTTCCATTCTCAGTAAATGCACATGCTTGGATTATGGGTTTGGTCCCTGGTCAGGGTAGATATGGAAGGCAACTTATTGATGTTTCTCACATCAATGTTTCTCTCCTCTCCTCTCCTCTCCTCTCCTCTCCTCTCCTCTCCTCTCCTCTCCTCTCCTCTCCTCTCCTCTCCTCTCCTCTCCTCTCCCCTCTCCTCTCCACTCCACCCCAGTTAAGTCAAGATAAGATAAGTGAAGTGAATTCGACGCGACGTTAGCCCCCTTTACGATGCCATTCTTATAAGACTTCTGGTCTGAGAGCTAGATACATGATGATATGAGTGATATCAGATTCAAGTTACACTAACATAACACCATAGGACGTGACGAGCATAGACTGAACTTAGATGAGGTTGCCTTTAATTTCGTGGGGTGGAGGTGCACAGAACGGCACTTATAAGAGACGTATCAAGAAGAGACGCTGCGAATGCGTGCTAATGGGATGGATAAAGTATAGGAGTCATTTCAATTCCAGTTCATCTCGATCCGGACGCCAACTCAGTAACGGG